CCCAGAGCCCGACGCGGGGCTCGAACTCACGGACCGCGAGATCGTGACCTGGCTGAAGTCGGACGCTCAACCGACTGCGCCACCCAGGCGCCCCAGAAATCGATTTTTAAAGCTATACTTCAAAATACTGTGGCCAGTTTGTATCATCTCGGTTTTGGAAAATTGCACATCTCTTGGACAGCCTCATCTTGTTGTACATGAAATGTACATTTGCTTACTTTGGACTTCAGAATTTTGAAGAACATTAATAAGAGACTATATTAGTTGGTCAGAATATAGATAAATCATTAATCTTTAAAGCTTGATGCTGTAAAATAATTAAGAAACAAATGTTATGGTAATTAACAACTGTCTAGGGCAGTGTATTTTAAAAGTTACATAGCAGTATTTCTTCTGAGTCAATATGATATTGATATGCTTTTATTTTAGGGTTTGACAATAAATTGCAGTTAAGGCTTTTCAGGTGTGCTTATTTTCTGTGAGATTTGATGTACCTTTGTGAAATATAAACCTCTAAAAAGATGTTATCAAAAAGAAACCGTATGTTCACAATATTCTGATTTCAAAAATTACTGTTAGAAGTCAGAAACTATAATACTTAATCCCAAACTTGTATGAGGCATTGGTATTTTTCACAGAATAATTTATATTTTAAAAATCTATGGCTGTTAAAAGTTGGAAGCTCTCTGTTAACATTTAATGATCTTGTCAGGGGAATATGATTGACACAATTAAGTTGTCTTGCATTTGAGTTACATAATTGATATGGGATGTGAGTAAGATCCTAATTCAGAACATATGATACTCTTGTTCCATTCCATTCGAGAATGAAATTAAAGCAACTTATAAATAAATCTGGTTTTCATTAAAATATGGAAAAAAGCATCTGCATGCCAAAGCATTTGCAATACAGCTAAGGATTTAAACTCTATATTTCATACTTGGAACATTTTTATCATATAGGATTAAATCCACAGATCAAACAAGTTTTTTAGGAAGTATAAAACTTTTTACTCTAATTCTTTTGGCTTAAAGGAATGTATATTTAGATTACAGTAGGAAAACAGGGGTTCGGTTAGATAATTCTTTTTCCCCCTTAGGAAAAAATTTACGGTTAGTATATTCTTCTAAAATTTTGATTTATAAAAGATGCTTATTTAATAGGTGCTTTTGGAGATTATGTTTTACTGGTTTGTATTTCTCAGGCTGGGTTTTATTTTGCAAGTTTAATCACCTCTGTTCTTTGGAAACTATCCATCGCCAAACACAATTCAGTTGACTGTGACATGCACATCAAATCTAAACTAACTTTACTGTGCATTACTATATTGCCTTATGGTTGAATGGTAAAGAAAAGTACTATATCTGCAATTGGCTTTATTAATGTACCTTAATAAGAAATGATTAACCAGTAGCCAAGCCAGGGATAGAGAAATTATATTTTGCAATAAAGTTTTATTTGTTTGTTGGTTATTTATTTACTTTGAGAGAGAGAGCTTACGCCAGCAGGGGAGGGCCAGAGAGGAAGGGAGAGAGATTCCTGGACTATCAGCACAGAGCCTGCTGTGGGGCTCGATCTCACGAACCGTGAAATCATGACCTGAGCCGAGATCAAGAGTTGGACACTGAATTGACTGAGCCACCCAGGCACCCCAATAAAGTTCTTTTTATATCAGGAATTTAAAATCCAGTCCTGTGAAGAGGACAGTTTAAAGGAAAGCACGTTCTGAGAAAAAGGAGGCAGTATCTGAGGCATGGGTTAGTCTGCACTAACATACCATAACTGTGATTCTGAGGGACTGCTGGGAGGAGGTGACATTGTCTTTAGTCCCACAGTTAAGTGCTTTGGGCAGTCTCATGGCTTTTGGACATGAGTGAATTGTGGTCTGATATAGTTGTAATACGTTGTATAAGTTGTATAAGTTACAAACTTCAGGACTTAAAGTGTTCCTTTATTCTTACGCAAGAGAAAAGAGTCTTTGGTCCTAAAGATTAATATGCCCTCTGCACAACTCCACCTTCATGACAGTAGGAACAGCAGAACTGTCAGATGGAATCTGCTTTGGTGCTCCTTTGGGTCTTTTTTCTCCTGACACTGCAGTGGTCTGGGTCTGATATTGGGTCCCAAAAGGAGCGTGGTTTTAGGCAGAGAGCCCTGGGCTTTTTGCTGTTTTCAGAAATTTGGCGGCCAGGTGTTCCTCAATGAGGGGTATTTTGATGTTCCCATTTTGACACTTGAATTCAAGAGTGACTAGAAGAGGAACATGCCCAATATCATTTTGTATTCTTTTTTTTTTTTT